TTTCTCTTTCTCGTTTTTGGTAAGAAGTTTGCAGGCTTTTAATTATCAGGCCCAAAAATTCCAAGCCCGAGAACTTAAAATACAGAGGTCCACCCCCAAAGACAGAGTTCCTAATTTCGTTTTACCTGAAAAAACCAAGACATTTCTTTAAACTTTGGATGCTCACGAGTGATTCATTAGACTCGGGGCAAGCTTTGTCGGTTCTTGGAATTTTTTGGGTTGACGGTCCTCCAAACTTTGCATTTTTTTTTTCACAATTCAATCATTTTTTTTAAAAATATTTTATAATTTTTTACAATTTCTCTTCTTCTTCTTATTTTGCTATACAATGGGGTTAAAAGTTAAAAATAAAATAAAATAAAAATAAACAAACAAGAAAACAATCCTATAAGCCCAACTTCCACTAGCATCAAAGCAAAGAAAGGAAGGCAAATCAATAGAAGCAGTTGTGAACACAATAGTAAGAATTTTTGTACTTTAAGTGTTATTTAATTTAAAACTGCAATTTAGACTTTATAGCCGTACAAAATAAAATCGTCATCTGCACCCACTAATTTCATGCATAGACTAGTGGGTGGTTACTTAAAAACATGAGCTAAAAGTTAGCTCCATATCCCTAAAGAATAGGTCAACAACTGACCACTTTGTTTGAAACAGAAAAAAAACATTCTACTCGTAAAATATAAAACTTAAATTCTAATTGCTAACAGCTGCATCAAAATAAGAGAGTTAAAGGGCCCTCTAGGCCTAATTTAGCAAGTTTATCAACACAAAGGTTAGCTTTCCTAAAGATGTGGGCAAATCCAATGAATCTAATGAGTTTTATCAAATTTTTAATGTTAATCTATCAACTCAAACAAAAGATGTGAAGGCTGTTGTAAATGAAGTAAAGCCAAGGCTTTTGTTGAATCATTCTCCACCCATATGATTTGAATATCCTCCATAGAAATCAAATGTAATCCCCAATATAAAACCCATATCTTAGCAGTAAGAGGGGAGTAGTCATTAAGTTTAATACAAAAACCATAAATAAAATTGCCATTACTGTCACGGATTATCTCTGCATAGGTAACTCCATCATAGGAAGGAGGAAAGATCTATTTGGTTCTGATTGGATCATTTGTAATTCTAAGTAAAGGTCTGATTTTATTCATGCAACAACTAAACTAAAAGTTTAAATCATATAAGATTTTATGAATAATTTGTTGCGAAAGGAGAAAAGAGGCTTGGAAAATAAGAGAATTTCTATCTTTTCACAAATGCCAAGTAATCAAACCAAATATACAATACCAATTAGTAAATTTGCTAAGCCTATTATTTGCAAAGTTCAGAAATAACTAGTTTGTAATCCCCATACTATAAAATTGGACCCATTGATTAGAAAAAATAAAATGCTCCCAGACTTGCCTTATATAAAAACAATATTTAAAAACATGCATAATGGTTTCAGGCGCCTCACCACACCTAAGGTAGAGAACGAAATCAGTCATATTTCCAAAAAAAAAAATTTCCTCATTAGTAACAACTTGTCATGGGTCAAGTTATATAGAAAGAATGCAATTTTTGAGAGACCCTTGCCACTTCCAAACATAATGAAAGATATTTTGACTATTCTTAAGTCCTTGAACAAACTTATAATAAAAGTGGCAGGCTCACTTGACAGAAAAAGTACCATTGGCTGTTAAATTCTAGAAAATTGAATCTGTCCCTCTAGTCTGGGCAGAAAGATTGATCTGAGAAATCTAGAGACAAAATTGGAGAAGAAGCATACACTCAATTTTGTCCTAGTCCCAACTTTCCTTATTGGCAAATAAAGCAGTAAAAGAATCTAACTCATGCTTGGGACATGGTGTTAGGCAGCATGGTACAACACAGACACCTCAGGAATTCAAGCATCCCTCCAAAATTTAGTATCCATCCCATCCTAATTATCCAGCCTTGGCTTAGGGAGAATTTAGGGCACACAAATGTTATACTCTTCCAAAGATAGAACAACGATTATTTATAGTAAAGGAGAATTTGTTAAAGAAAATTTTATATTTTTGTTTAACAACCTAAGCCCACAAATCAGAGTGATAGGTACTCAGTCTCTAACATAATTTCATAATATAATAGCTATTCAGTATATGGAGATTTTTAAAATCAAGACCTCTTTCAGACTTAGGTTTATAAATACCCTTCCAAGTTATTAGATGACATTTCCTTCCTCTTAAAGATCTCCAAATGAAGTGTCTATAGAGCTTATTTACTTCATTACAAACAGAAATGAGGATAATCACAAATTACATCACATAAGAGAGAATACTCCTAAGGCAAGAATGAGCTAGAATTACCCTCCTAGCTAGGAAGAGAGAGTTAATTTTTTAGATGAAAAGTTTCATCCTAATCTTATCAACAATAACGAGAATTAATGCCTATTAGACTTGTAATAACTGATGCGAATGCTTAGGTACTTACCAAATTGAGTAGAAAGTTGGATGCCCAGAATTTCACTAATATTCTAAGTTAAGGCATAATCGGTATTGTTAGAAAAATAGAGAGATAATCTATTAAATTTGATTTTCAAACCAGAAGTTGAACAAAATTTATTAAAAATTGATTTAATAATAGTAGCTTGTTCTACATTAGTTTTAACTACTAAGATAATGTTATTTGCAAAAAAATACATAAGAGATGTCAATCCCATCAATACTAAAAGGAAAAAGACTCCACTTAATAGTCACTACTAGAAAAGTGCTTAATACAGACAGATTCTAATCTGTCTGTATTACAGACGGCTTTACAGACGAATTTGTGGAATAATTTTTTTTTTCTGAAACATCCATCTGTATTTAGCCCGCCTTTTGGCGCCAAACGTTATAGACAGCAATTACAGACGGATTTTTCTGTTTGTAATTTGAAAATAGGAGGAAATATTATAGGGGAAAATTATAGACGGATTTTTTCATCTGTAAATATGGCGGTTTTAACCGACCTTTCAGGCGGCAAATTACAGACGGATTTTTTCATCTGTAAATGGGATTGACGCATTTACAGACGAAAAAATCCGTCTATCATTTGCCACCTGAAACGCACCGTTTCATTAAACCCATTACAGACGAATTTTTTCGTTTGTAATGACTGAAACCCATAAAAACTGCGTCTCCTCATCCCCTCCCCCATTATCAGAACCCCCCCTCTCTCTCTCTAGGAGCTCAGTGTTTTGGCCATTGCGAGTGATTGGAGCAACCATTTGAAAGTTTTTTTGCATCATTGTATTCCTGGTACGATACTCTAACTTTTAATCGGTTTAGTTTTTTAATTTTTTATGTTTTTTAGAGACTTAAAATTTCTAAGATAGAGTTGTAGGATTGGAGATTGTATGACTGGGGGGAAGGGCGTAGAGGTCCTTCTTCGAACCTGATTATTGTGTGCTGTGGGATTGTTTGTATTTGTGGAGTTTGTAGAATATGCATGTTGTGGAGTTACAAGGAGATGTGCTCTAGAACGGTTTAGGTTTGTGATGTGTTTATGTTTGATGTATCGAATAATTTATTGTTATATAATTTATTAGTTGATTTTAAGTGAAATTTTCATTTTTGTAAAAAAATGGTAAACAAAAGTAAGGAAATTAACATGTATTAGGGGAGATTCTGCCAAAATTTATATTAAAAATTTCTGTAATGTATTTTAGAAGGTTGATACCACATTGTATATTTGTATTAGGTTTATATAGTTCTTGAGGAAGATGTATCTCAGAAATCGTCAGTGGATGTATGATAGGTTGCACCCAAGTCGGGGGGGGAATAAAACCTGAATTCTTTGAGGGTGTAGAGGAATTTATACGCGTCTGTTGTAATTCACAGCAATTCATCACCAATCAGGTCGTTAAGTGTCCATGTTCTAAGTGCAAGTGTAGAAAATTTTTGGATATTGATTCAATTAGATATGATTTGTATAAGTTTGGATTTAAACATGATTATTGGATATGGACTGAGCATGGGGAAGAAGTTAATTTAGAAAATCAAGTAGGTAATTCAAATATATTACAATCAGGTGGTCATGTAGGTAATGTAAGTTGGGAAGAAAGCAATAGTCGTTATCAAGAAATGGTTTATGATGCTGTTGGTCCTCAATTTGAAATTTTTTATGATTTTGAAGCTGAACAAGAACCTAATGGAGAGGCTGCAAAGTTTTATAATGTTTTAGAAGCAGCAAACAAGCCTTTATGGGATGGGTGTGTGCATTCAGAGTTATCTTTAGCAATAAGAATGTTAAGCATAAAGTCAGAAGGCAATCAAAGTCAGAGTTTATTTGATCAATGGGCTACATTAATTAGTGAGCTTAGTCCCGAACCTGACTCCATCCCAAAGGACTTTTACCAAGCCAAAAAATTAGTTTCTAAACATGGATTAAAAGAAGTCAAAATTGATTGTTGTTTGAAAGGCTGCGTGCTGTATTACAAAGATGATGCTGTTTTGACCAATTGCAAATTTTGTGGAGAGCCTAGGTTTAAATTAAGAAGAGGTGGTAGAAGTGGTAAACATAAAGATGTACCGCAAAGTAGAATGCATTATTTACCTTTGATTCCTAGGCTAAAAAGGTTGTATGCGTCTATGAGTTCAGCTCCTTACATGACGTGGCATGCTGAAAATAAAAGGAGTGATGGGATAATGACTCATCCATCTCATGGTCAGGCTTGGCAACATTTTGATCAAATGTATCCTGAGTTTGCATCCGATCCTAGAAATGTAAGGTTAGGGTTATGTGTTGATGGGTTCGCTCCAAACAATCAATTTAATAAACCATATTCTTGTTGGCCTATTGTGGTTACACCTTTTAATCTTCCTCCTGAAATGAGCATGAAAAATCCATATTTATTCTTGACTGTAATAATTCCTGGTCCAGAAAATCCAAAGGCTAAAATTGATGTATACCTTCAACCTTTGATTGATGAGTTGAAAGAGTTATGGTGTGAGGGTGTAGTAACTTATGACGTATCAAGGAAGCAAAATTTTATCATGAAGGCAGCACTGATGTGGACGATAAATGATTTTCCTGCTTATGGAATGTTGTCTGGATGGATGACTCAAGGGAAATTAGCATGTCCAATTTGTATGGAGGATACAAAGGCATTTACTTTAAAACATGGAGGAAAAAATTCATGGTTTGATTGCCATAGGAGATTTTTAGATATGGAACATCCTTATAGGCGTCAAGCGTACAAATTTAAGAAAGCAACTGTTGAGAATGAGGACCCTCCCGCCCGTTTAAATGGTCATCAAGTATGGGATAGAGTTAAACACTTGCCAAAAATAACAGAAGTAGGAAAATTCATTAGGTTTCCAGGTTATGGGATAACACATAATTGGACCAAACAAAGTATATTCTGGGAGCTCCCATATTGGAAGGATAACTTAGTTCGTCATTGTTTAGATGTGATGCATGTGGAAAAAAATGTATTTGACAATATCATGAATACTGTAATGGACACTGATCGAACTAAAGATAATGTCAAGGCAAGGCAAGATTTAGAAGAATATTGCTCGCGTCATGAATTGAGGTTACAACAACTTCCAGATGGTCGATGGTCAAAGCCAAAGGCAAGTTACACTCTGACTTTACTACAAAGACAAGATGTGTGTAAGTGGGTGAAGGAGTTAAAAATGCCTGACAGTTACGCATCAAACCTCGGTCGTTGTGTGAATGTTGAACAAGGAAGATTTTTTGGGATGAAAAGTCATGATTGCCACATATTCATGGAGTGTCTTCTACCTGCTACATTTAGGGAACTACCAGACCATGTTTGGAAGCCATTGACTGAGTTAAGTGAGTACTTTAGGGACCTGTGTTCACCTACTCTAAGGGTTGAAGATCTATTAGTTATGGAGAAAAATATTCCTGTCATTTTGTGCAAATTAGAGAGAATACTTCCCCCTGGTTTCTTTGACTCCATGGAGCACTTGCCTATACACTTAGCGTATGAAGCACGTGTATGTGGACCAGTACAATACAGGTGGATGTATCCGTTTGAACGAGAAATTGGAGGGTTCAAAAGGACTGTGAAAAATAGAGCGCAAGTGGAAGGATCCATATGCCAGGCATATATATCAAAGGAGACATCAAATTTTTGCACATACTATTTTGAACCTCATGTTCAATATAGGAGAACTCGGGTTGGTCGAAATGATGATGGGGGAGAAAGTAGTAATGAGCCAAGTCTATCTATATTCAACCAACCAAGTCGTGTATCTAGAAAATGCGAAGAACGATGGATCTTAGGTGATGAATCAGAGGCCACCCACTTGCACATCTTATTAAATTGTGATGAAGTTCAATCATTCAGAACGTAAGTGACTTATGATTGCTTTAATGATTTTTTCTGATCATGGTCATTTAAATCTAGTTAATGATGTTGCAATGTTTACAGATATTTTGAACAATTATATGGTCACGAATCCCTTAATCAATTTCCATCATGGTTCAAAAGTTATGTAAGTCATGACATTTCCCTAACATGTTAGTTAATCGACTTTTTAATATTATTCTGTATTCAATCAATTGACATCGATTTATGGTATATGTAGGTGCGTGATCCTAGTAATGGTATCACAGATCCTGACCTATATAACTTGTCCAGAGGTCCAAAAAACAAAGAATATTGTTGGCTAATTTACTTTGTTAATGGGTATAAATTCCAAACTATTGAATCATGTCAAGGGAGAAAAACAGATAATAGTGGAGTTAGTGTAAGAGGAAATTCAAGTGATGGTGACTGTGATTGGTATGGAAAACTTCATGAAATTGTTGAGCTTGAATATGCTGGTGAAACCATCAAAAGGATTGTCTTATTCAAGTGTGAATGGTTTGATCCAACACGCCCAACAGGTACACGTAAACATAACCATTACAATATAATTGAGATTAATCATACCAAAAGATATAGAGGCTTTGACCCCTTCATCATTGCACAAAATGCAAGGCAAGTATATTTCTTATCTTACCCTGGAAAATGTAATAAAAGTTGGAGAATTATAATTAAAACTAAACCAAGGGGTCGAATTGAAAGTGATGAAGTAGATGATGAAGATGCATATCAAATTGATGACTCAATTCCTTCACGTGTAGTAATAGACAATGTTGTCCCTCCAATTTTATCTTCTCCTTTGAATGAAATTGAAATAATTGACCCTCCTACCCAAGTTATGAGAAATAATGAAATGGATGACATCATAGAAGATGAGGATGAAGGAATTATGGATAAACTTTCATCGAATGATGATGAAGGTGGTCTTGAACTATCAGAGTAAATGAGGTAAAGTAAGTAGGTTTGTCAATTTACTATGTTGCCATGATTATTTAATTTGAGTTATCACCAATATTATTCATATTTTAAACAAATTATAGTATTTGTCTCTAAACATATATATGGTTTGATTTAGATATGACAGGTAAAGGTAAGAAGGGTGTTACTCAGCAAACTGATCGTGGCAACACTTCTTCACCTACCGCTCCGACTTCGACGTCCACACCAGCAATAGTGCAGACCTCCCAAGTTAGGGGACAGGAGCAATTTATCATGGTGCCCAATCCTGGGTATATTTCTCCTCCCCCTCCAGTACAGCAAGTTTCACACTCTGCACCCCCTACTACACAGGCCACACAGTCTACACAGGGCACAGGAGATGGATCCACTGCTATCCCATCTGTAAGCGGGCAGCAGTCATCACAGACCCAGGCATCATCGAGATCGTTAGAAACTTTGAGATAGGATGGGTCCACTTGGTAAGTAATTCAATCAAATATGCCTAACATTGCGTATTTAATGTGAATGTTAGTAGTTATGTTTTATTTTATTGTGTTATCAGTTGGATACCACCACAGAAAGGTCTCCATCAGGTCACAGATACGATTAAGAATATGTTTGATGCGCCTTACAGAAGTTTTGCAAAGGTGCCAAATGATACAAAGATGGAATGGTTCAAAGATTGGAAGGTAACTAAGTGTAATTACATATGACTATTTTTACCTCTTCTAATGAAATTGTGTTTCTGTAGAGCAACTTCTCCATTCCTCCCCAGGACGAAAAGATGATTTTCAAGGCCTGGAAGAGTCGCACTGCAAAGCGACTAAGACAGATGTACACTGAGGCTCGCCAGGACCCTTCTACTGTTGATTGGATAGCACCCAACTTTCTTCATGCCTTGCAGGAGTATTGGGGTACAGATGAGTTTAAAAATCTCTCTGTAAAGAACAAGACAAACAGGGCATCTAATAAAGGGGGGTCACTGCATACTGGTGGGTCTACGACTTTGGCTGGCACTAAGGCGAACTTGGTATGTGATTTTAAAATTCAGTTTACTCTATCTATAATTTCATATTTGAGATTGTGATTTATTTCCAATTGCAGGAGAAGTCGTTGAAGAGGCCACCTACTACTGGAGAGTTGTTTAAGGAGACACACACTCGCAGGTAGGACAAAAACCTGTGGATTGATACACGATCTCAGGCCACATATGTAAGTCATAGTTATTGATAATATATGTTATTATTAGCGACTTATTAAATAGTTCTCCAAACTAATATCTAATTATCTGAACTGAACTGTAGGATGACTATATTCAAAGGCTTGAGGAAGCATCTTCTCATGCTATGTGGTCACAGACAGTGAGTGACCTTTATAAAGGTCGCATTTATGGCATGGGGGACCGCTTTGCAGACTCCATGTCCCCTGCATCTATCACTGGAGATGCCCCTTCTCTTGCACCTGAGGATGTGGAGGACATGGTCCGCACTCAGGTCCATGCCCTCAATGAAGAACTCCAGAAGCAGAATGAGGAGATGTGGAAGAGCAAAGAAAGTGCATGGAAGAAGAAGTGGGCAAAGAAAATGGAGAAGATAGAGAAGAAGGTGGCGTCGAGAATGCAAAGGGAGGTCCAGCAGCAGATGACACAACAACATAAGCAAATGCAGCAGATGCATGCTTATTTTGAGCTCATGAGAGCAAGCAGCTCAACACCTTTTCCTCCTCCTCCTCCACCAGCTCCAGCACCACCGGTTTTCACCTCCATGCATCATTTCTCTACTGACTCCTCTTCTACTGATAATGATGCTCCTTCGGATTATGACCATACAGATTATTCCTGATGAAGACTTGTATTTTATTTTTAAATGTATTTATTTAGATGCTTTTTTGTCTTCCTTTGTAATAACATTTAAATTTTATATTTTATAAATCATTTTGGAATGTTTAGATGCTGAATCTATAGTTTCTATTTTGTTTATAAATTGTGATAATCAAGAACAGCAGGAAATAACTATCTATATAAACAAAAAAATATCAATAATAGTAAAATATATCACCGACGGATTATAGACAGATTTTTCCGTCTGTAACTTACAGACGAATTTTTCCGTCTGTAATTCTTTACCGACGAGGATATTACAGACGGTTTATGTCCATCTGTAATGGAAAAAATCGTCTGTAATGCTCTAAAAATCCGTCTATAAATCTGTCTGTATAAACAGACTTTTTAGTAGTGAGTGTTAATTTTACTCTAAATTGATGAGTTGGTTTTTCAATGCATAAAACAAATAAAGTAAGGGAACAAAGGGTCCCTTAACTAATATTCCTAACAAGTGATATTCCTAACAGGACAATTTCTCTTATTCTTTACATAATATCAAACACAACTTCTAATATATTTTAAAAACCTTAGAGATAAATATTTACAGTAGACTTTCACAGTAGATGAAAACTCTTAACTAAAGTTTTATAATAAATTTGAAATTTGAAAGTATTTAAACTTTTCAATCTCGTTTAAAATAAACAAAAAAAAAAAGTTATAAAGCATTAAATTTTGTCATCTTTAAACTTTAAAGAGTTTAAAAAATAAAATTGATGAAAGTTAAAAAATAAATAAATAAATATATTTTTTAAAATCATGAACAGGTTGAATTTTAAGAAAATGAAAAGGTAAAGATATTTTAATAAAAAAATTTAAATAATGATGTAAATAAAAATAAATAGAGATAAAAAAATAAAATAAAATGAAGTTATTTCCATTGGACTCTCAAAGATTGTGGCAAGTGTTATGGCTAGAATCACGTATTTTAAAATTTTAGATTTAAACATGCTTATTTGCTGCTTAAAAAAAAATGAGTATTTAATTTTATTTATTTATCTATTGTGAACTACTGCAATACTTAGTATTTTAACATCTTTTAATTGAAAAGTATTATTTGATAATTTTATATAGTTTTAAAAAACTATTTTAAAGATAAAATAAATAATTAAAGAACTATTATGAACACTAAAATTTTGATTTTAAAAAAATTTAAATTTTAATATTATAAAATGAGAAGAGAAACAATGAGTTTTAAAGAAAAAATAAAATTTTATCTTAATAAAATAAAAAAAATTCATAATTAATTTTTAAAAGGAAAATAAAATATAACAAATAATCAAACTCTAAAACTAATGTTACTTTATACATAAAAAGGAAAATTTTTATATTTTTAGCATTTTATGAAAATCTTAGCAATAAAAGGGGAGAGAAACCATGAGAAAGGGGTTCAAGAATTTTGGGAGGAGGAGATTTTTCTTACAAATATAGAAAAAATAGGGCTAGCGGAAAGGATGAAGAACAAGAGGAAAACAAAAAATTTTAAGAACATCAAGTACGTTTTATCATGCATTTTATACATTTTTTTCTTCTTCATGCATATTTATATTTTGAATAAAAATTTCATATATCAAATCAATCATAAATGGCAAAAAAAAAAAAAGTTTCAAACCTTCACTTCAAACATCCAAGTTTCATCACCTCTCCATCCATTTCTCTATCCATGATCATCCACAAACACAAAACTCACCATAGAAATTTCTTCCCTATCCTTTCTCCTTTCTCTTTCTTTTTCTCACACTAACCTCTACCACTCAAAATTATAGCCTCTATTAACTTCATCTTCATCCTTTTGTAACCTCTTTTATTTTTCTTGGAGAAAAGCGTACTCCTAACCCTAAAGTCCTTCCCATTCAAATATGAAAATTTTAAATTTTGAATCATTTTACCTTTTTTTTAATTAATTTTTTGGTCTAATATCTTTTTTTATTATTTAGCTCAACATATAATTTTTTATTTTAGTTTATTTATTTATTCATCATTATTATTATTTTTATTTTTATTTATTCTTATGATAACTATTAATTTATTTAATGAATGAGTTCTTCTTATTTATTTTTATTTTTTGTTTTTTTTATGTTAGCCTAATTTAGATAAAAAGTTTTGATTCTAATTTATTTATTTATTTTTATTTTCTTGATCCTATTTACTTTGCAATATTGTATTTAAGTTATTTTTTTAATTTATCTCAATCTAACATTAACAATAAATTCTCTCTAATTTTTTTATATTGCATTGTTTATATCTTAATTATCATATTGATTATTTATTTTTTAGAATTGTTATCTTTTATTTCATTTATTGTATATTTGTAAAATATTGATGTGATTTAATTTTATATTTATGATTATCTTTTCTTATATTGTGAATAGTAAATTACTTATTTTTTATATAATCAATTAATAAATAATAATATAATTGCATCAATTTATAATATTAACGTATAACTTCTCTATCATCATGTATTATAAATTGATAAAGTCTATGTATACCTGCGTTACCAAGGCTTTATACAATATTAATTTATCATATATTGTATTTAATTATAAATCAAGATATATTCCCCTTCTAATTACTAACTTATGAATAAATCAACTAATTTAAATTTAAATTATTTTATTAACGAAACAATTTATAATACTAATTTGTAGTGACTTTACTTTTATGAAGAAGCGAGAATCGGAGCCATCAAGTTAAAATAACTTTTAAAATAATTTTGTAAGGTTTCCATTAATACTTTAATAAATAATTTATCTTCTTTTAAAATATAATAATAATAATTGTTGTTTATGGGTTAAATAAATATTTTTTAAAATTAAACAAATAAATTTGTATAATTCATTTAAGGTAACTGTTTTTTTTAATTGAACTTCAGACACAATTTTTTGTTTCAAATATCATTTTTTAAAGTTTTTCTAAAGTTTTTTTTTAAATTTTGGTGACAACTCTTCTAATTTTTTTAGAAAATATTTTTATTTTAAAAAAATATTTTCCTTAAATACGTTTTTACTATATTATTGTGACTACTCAATTGCAACTGCTATTATGATGATAAAATCTTTAAAAGAACTAGTATAATGACCGAGAGATAAATATAATGACAAATATAATTTTAAATAATTAAC